CAAGACGGCGCAAGGGTGGGCGCAAGAAAGTCCTAATGCTGGAGCACCGATACTAGAATTTAGAACAACATCCATATAGCCCTTAGTAGGACCCCCAATACAGACTGTTCCTGGGTGCGGGCAGTACCCAACTTGTAGGGTTTAGGGTTGAGGGTTCAGGGCCCTACATCGGCTATAGGGTTTCCGAAGAATGCAGGGGAGGTCCGTTTTGTTGCGTCCCTATAACAAGGATGATCGTGGTATGGGGTTTCCCCTATTCATGGAAAACTCCATATCAACGCATCAGCACACCTACATATCAAAATCGTATAAAGCAGCAGAGTTAGCACAGGACATCGCAAAGATCTCCTAGGCGCCAAGTCTACTCTGCCTACATAGCTTTTAGAGTGTTATACTAGTAAGCGTGACTTGGGTTTTGGAGAGTATGTGAGCTACTAGTATCCCCCTTAATAACCCCCACGCAATCCCCTATATAACCCCCTTCAAAGAGTTTAGACTTTAGCACATATGATTGTTGTTGCCTCTGGGTCCCTATGGATGGGATCGAAGAAGGCTTGATCGGATCCATTGTTGACCAACCCTTGAACATGTACGTGCTTCAACCCCTATAGATAGCCATGGCCATGACTGAAAAAAAGCCCTAGACCTATCTCCCTAAAAATTCCATAGCCGTGGAACCCACCCTTTAAAGGAACCTTATACTTGATTCCATCCCTGTATCCCTTTAACCCCTTCAACCCCTAACCCAAAACTAAACCCTAAAGCTTACCCGCTATGTGCCTATAACCCCCTTTAGAGGGGCCCGAATTGCCTCAGATCCAGGTTCCGCCGCCCGGGCGCTGCTGAAAATGCGCGCCGCCCCGGATGTCCGAGATAGCCGAGGCCCTCGCAGCTGTTATCCTTCCAAGGATTCAGAGGGTTTAGGGTTCAGATTGTTATGTAGGGATTGCAGTATAGAGGGATCGTCTGGGATATAGGGATTCCAGAATCTAGGCATCATCTAGGAATTACGCGGTTTCGGATTCCTTTTTAAGTCAAGGGTCTCAGAAGTACAGGCTGTGCCCCCAGGGTTATATCCTCTGGGTTTAAGTATGGGTTTAGGGTTAAAGGATCCTTCCGAGGGATCCTATGATTCCTATAGGAGCTGCAGTTCAGGGTTTAGTAAGGGTTAGAGCCATATTTCCGAAACCTTGTCGGCTCACGACTTCAGCTACCACCCTGAACCCTTGGTTTAGGACAGTCCGCACGGTTTAGGGACACATCTTCTACAACAGGTATGTAGGGATGTATACCCATCACGATGGATAGATGCGGGTGCTTTTAGGATCTTATGTGTAGAAGCTTTTTTAGTGAACTATTTTCATCAGTAGCTGAGTGCAACCTTTTTAACGTCTCGGTATATATCTGTACAACCCTGATTACAGTATGTTTCAACGGTGGCTACCCTGATTTTGCTTGAACGGTGGCCATGATTCTACTGAGATATTTGGGGTCATATACGGGCTTTATCGGGGGATTTGTTCATTCCTCGGGGAGATTTAGCGATGTATAGGGAATGTAACGAAGGACTAGAGGGGACATTCAGCATCATTTAGGACATCGTATCGACATTTAGCGATTTATATATATATATATGTATATATATATATAGAGGATTTACAAAGGTTACATGAGATGTTTGGCTTATACGAGGGAGGGTACTCTGTTGGGTAAATTACGTTTGTCTTCCCTCGCCATCCTTGCGAACTTCAAGATGCGTAGAGTTTATGGTTTAGGGTTGAGAACTGTTGATGGCTTTGCTCACCTGACGTGGACGCCCTCTGTGAAGGGCACCATGAGGTTAAATCCGAGCTTGTAGACTTTCTTTATGTCGCGCAGTTTTTTGTGCAAGGCTGTACGGTACTTTTGAGGGTTTGATTGTGTTTTTCACATTGCTTGGGTTTTGACCATGAAAGCTCTTAGCCGAAACTCCTTGCGAACCTTTGGAAAGTTCGCATGTAAAGTGGAGGCGTCCGTCCCCGATCAGGGCTTGCAACCCGTATTAAAGTCCTCACGGAACCCCAAATGGTGGTCGCTTTTATACCCCGAAATCTATCACCTTCATCATAGAAACGCCCCTGGAGAACACCTCTTTTTTTCAGACCATAAACCATAAGTATCTCTGCATATTTCTACAAATGCCAGTGTGCCCTAATATATGTATATATATATATACATACCATATTCCCATCTAAAGGATCCCTGGACGCCCTCAAATCCAAAGCCTCAAAACCCGAACACCCCAAACCCTAAATCCTGACCTCAAACCCCAAACCCTAAAAACCCTAGCAACCTAAAGCCCTCAGACTTGAATGTCCTTAGATAGTCCCTTTAGAGGGACCGGTTTGGGCTTGGGGTAAAGGGTAAAAAGATTCTATAATGTAACATAGCCCAACTCCTGCTCCTAAACCGCAAGGTCGCACGCCGCTTCACTGTGCAGCGTTCCAAAGCAAAGTGGACCTTGTGGAGCTCTGGAATTGGGAGATCTCAAACGGGGTAAGCTTTTCGGACCCGCTGAAGGGGGAACCCTAAACTCTAAACCGTATACCCTGAATCCAGGGGAACGGACAAGAACATAATTCTTCAAGGTTAGGGTCTTAGGGCTTCTGAGGTAATGCAGAGAATAGATGGACGGTAGGTAGGGACTGTATGGGGAGTATCTGGGCATTCTATATAGGGCTTCTTCTCGAGATTGTGTATTAGGCCCTAAACCCTAAACCCTTAGGTTTGGGTGCACATCCACAAAGAATTACACGAATAGAGAAGAAACCAGATGAGAAAGCACATGAAACATAGATGGCGCCCGGGAGTATGTGAGCCATAGTTTAGAGGGGTTATATAAGGGGTTATATGGGGAATACTATAGGGGTTAGAGCACTACTACAAGGGGTTATTAAAGGGGATACTAGGAGTCTAGTGCTAGGAGTCGAGACTATGGCTCACGTGGAGGTTCGTGTTTGGACGGGCTTAGCTGGGCACATAGAAGGAGCTCAAATGAGCCCACCGCAACTTGCAGGCGTTGCTGGAAATATCCCCCAAGATAAGCACCAAACCCGAATCCCCCAACATTGGCTTGAGTGAGCTGTTGCAAGTTGCTCGGGTTTAGGACGTGGCCCGGTTTTGGGGGTTCATAGGGTTCAGGGTATAGGGTTTGAAGCTTCAGGGCTCAGGATTTGGTGCTTGTTTCGAGTTATACAGGCTTGGAACACAATTTCTTTTTCGGGATCTTCCGAAAGCAAATGGCCTTCCATTCCTCCTTGCAGTGCTTAGGGCAAGTGTTTGAGTTTAACAAATTAAGGGGAACTGGGGGTGGCGGGGGTTACAGGGATATTGAGGGTTCAGGGTTTATATACACAGAGGGATCATATAGCTCCATATTATATACATACATGAGGCGAAATTAGCGTTCTGCAGGGGATATAATGGGAATGGAAAAGAATGTGTCAACTTTGCTATGCTGTGCAAAGGGCCTGGCGGATAATGGCCTCCCCACACCCTCTTACCTCTACCCGCGCAAAGTAGTACCATTATGTAAGGGCGGGGCATATGTGTGATTAAATGGGGGTCGGGGGGGATTCTTACTTTCAGGGGAGAGGATGAGATTAGGGTTCAGGGTTTACGGTTTAGGGTTTTGGGTACCCTACTTTCAGACACCCTAAACCCTAAAACCCTAATCCCTAAACCCTAAACCCCTAAAACCCTTAACCCTTAAAACCCTAAACCCCTTAAAACCCTAAAACCCTTTACCCCTTAAAACCCTAAAACCCACCCACAGGAGATGCTCCTGAACGAAGGAGCCCAAGTAGGATGCGTTGACGAGCAGGCCTCAGGGAGGGTTTAGGGTACTATAATGGAGAATCAAATGGAAAAGAAAATGGAAAATGAAATGGAAACTGGGTGTATATAGGGGATTATAGGGATTAGGGGGAGGGCTCAAGCCGGCTTAGGGTTTCGGTGATCGGGGATATAGGGGATAGGGTTTAGGGATTAGGGTTTAGGGTGTAGGGTTTAGGGTGTAGGGTTTAGGGTATAGGGATTAGGGTTTAGGGATTAGGGTTTAGGGTTTAGGGTTTAGGGATTGGGGTTTGGGGTTTAGGGTTTAGGGTGTAGGGTTCAGGGCTTTAGGGGGC